CCCGGAAAGGGTCACACAACATATAGTTGTCCTTCGAAACGTGCCATGGAGATTCTTGAGTCAAACCTTTGCAAATACAAACTTAAAGCAGTGTACTCAACAGCAAGGACACATTTACCAACTTGTCAGGAGTTGGCAAGCCGTTGTTTGTCTAGTTGTTTCCATTTAGAAGTATGGTCTACTGAAGATGGTGTGACTACACCTACATGTAGACACGTTTTTTGAGAGGGAGGCATAATGACTCAGATCAACATTTCTCAATGATATATTTCACGGCAACAACAAGTCATCTAGCTGAGTGTGCATTGATTGTTAAATGCCACCAGATCTGCAAATATGCCCTGATGTATTCAGATTAAACCTCCATTTAAGTAATAATAAATCTGCATTTGTGTAGAGCTCAGCCTTTAGATCTCCCCACAGAATTCATTGCATATGTAGTGCCCTACATACATAAATGAGTAAAAATAGAAGATCATCTTTGTCTTCTTGTTTTGTTATTGATACCTATAGTTTCTTTTGGCTGTTGTCAATGATTTCACTTCTAGCAAGATCATTACAGATAACTAATACACTGTGTGTTAATCTAGAACATGCAAGATTATCCTTGGCTTGGAATATGATTCCTGTGATAATGCCCTCCAAACACTTGGGTAAGACATGTTACAGATATAAAGGCAAAAGCTGTGCGAGTCACTTGCAAAGTCTATACCTACTTCTGAAGTGAATAAATGTCTCATCTCTGCTGTCTTGACTACATATCAACTACTAAAGCAGTACAATTTTCTGTACCGTCCTGTGGAACAGAACTTTTTAAGAAAAGTGTGACGTCCTATCTTATCCAGTTGCTGGACGACAAGTCATTGGCAATGTTTTGCCTGTTTGTTTAACTCGATTCCATACTTTTGTTATGGTTTGTTTTTTTATTGCATCCTCTTTGTATTTTATTTCTTACTTAATCTTTCGTTTCAAATGTATGCATGTAAAGATCTCTGCAATTCAGCCTTTGGCTGCTATTGAGATTTTAATAATAAATCATGAATGAATAACTTATGGACTTGTCCCAAGTTCAACAGACAAACACAAGTATATTTAGAAATACAGTCCATCATAAAAAGTGACTGATTGATTAATACTCCTTTTGAATTTTTTTTTCTGGCAAGTGATCGTTTTGAAGATAGCAGTGAAAGAAGGCCATTTCTAATGACACCTCTAAAGATGCATTTTTTAAAAATTCTCATTGGCAGTTTGCCTTAGGTACCTGTCTTCACAATTTGAGCATAATGCACATATGATAGAGTACCTTTAATGAATTGTCATCGATGTCTGGGTATAAAAGTGCAAGTGCACCGTGCGGGGTAAGTTCCTGGTAGACCTGTTGCCAGCGAGTGGTGCCACGCCCGCATGGGCCGTAGTTGAATAGCCAGTGGCAGTACTTGTGAGTAAAGCAACTTACCAAGAAAATAAGTTGATGTAATTACTTCGGATATGTTTATGAGAAGGGACTCCATCCACAGGTTGTTAAACTTGTTGTCATACCCCACTCTGATAAGTTTTAACGCCTCCCAGGCGCGGACATTAAAGGCTTTCAAAAGAGCAGAAGTACGAGCTGTGACAGACTATGGAATGGATCTAATATGGAAGAATAATCAATAAGCTATTAAACTTATAAGGAGGGAGATTAATTGAAAATGTTTCTACAAAACCTAAACAATGTAAAAAAACAATGAGTAAAACGAAGGAAAAGCAATCAAATTGTTCTCAGAGATTTGATATATTTGGCATAATATTAATACACATATTTTCACTGGTATTTTTAATGCATAAATATAGGTGAAATACTGTAGTGAAAGTACGATGAAGTTTAGTTTAAAAGATTAGTCAATTTAGGGGAGTCCCCCAGTGAGTCATGTGGACAGCGCGTGCAGCGTTGTGATTGGCTGCATGCTGTCCACATCCTCGCTAACTTCTGAGAAGTGCACAGCGTGTAGAATGACTAGACCAAATCATTTTAACGGTGCTGCTTTAGCTTGGATTTGAATACATCCTGTGAAGAACTATTTACAACAGGTAGATTGTTCCAGTCTTTTATAGGGGAAACAAAAAATGAGTCCTGGAATGCTTTAGACTTATGACGAATTTGTAGAAATTTTTGATCATTCCCCCTAGTTCTCCTGGTGTTAGGCTGGATAAACTAGGTTAACATCAACCAATCCGTATTTCATCTAGTCGAGCACACAAAGTCTCTGGTTTCTCCTTCTTGACCGGAAAGTTTCCCAACCCAGCTTATTTAGGGTACTGGTTACGGAGCTCTCGACCCTACTGTTGTTGTTGGTACAAAATCTGGCAGCCTGCTGTTGGATTCTTTCCAATGATGGTATACTGGTTTTAGCTCTACTAAAACCAGAATCCCACGCAGCCGTTGCATACTCAAGCACATGTCTCTATGGAGTTCCATATCTGCCGTCGCCTGTCGTCTGCCTTTTGCTTTTTGTTGTGTCCCAATTCTGCCATTTACCAGTTCCAAACATGCTATTTTCTGTCACCCGCCGTGCGTTGCCTGTCGTGCATTAGCCCCACTAGTGTGGCAAGGACTCTCACTCCCGATCCAATCCTTATGGGGCTAGTCGTGCATCGCAAACAGGACCTGCAAAAGCCGGGGTTTAACAAACGACAATGTGATGATTCCATTCACTTCTAAGGATCTTTTCCCAATAAGGCAAGTACAAATCCCACCTGCAATACTAGTCCCATAATTAATGCCAATAATGCTAGACTACCCCTGCCCCTTGACAAGAAAATGTCACCTGTCTGAGAATTCAACCAAGTGTTTTTTGGGGGAAAAGCATTTTCAGCATAGCAAAAATGTTCAGGCCAACTTATCCACAGTCTAATTCTAATTTGCATACTTTACAAATGTGCCAACTTGTTTTCATCAAATCCTAGAAAGAAATCTGCCAAGCGATACAGATGTTCCATTTTGTCCTCTCAATTTCACTTTGAAATACAGAAATACTAGACAGTGCTGTGGATAACAAACTGTTTATTAAATGTATTGTTAGGGGGCAATTACCACTTGGTTTAAGTTTCAGAAAGTGTGACGTGTTGGTTTTTGTGGGTGTGGTTGCCACGGTGGACAGACTGATGAGAACAGGTTGTCCAGCATATCAGCAGTATTTATGGGGCTAACAAGTAACGTTACTGTTTAAAAGACTTCTGTGAGTCTACCTGCAACTCAAGTCATGTCTAATTTGGGGAATACAGCAGATTTCATCATAGGTATACCCGCCCTCAAAAAAATATTGAGTCAGTTCGTCTCTTATGAAAACTATTAAGGAATCAAACATTGTAATTAATTTGTTATCTACATTCCGTTCTGTGGGATATCGTGCATGGACAGACAGAAATATTACATAGGCTATAGACCTAAAGTCAGGCCATTAATGAGTAAAGCTAAGTCTAGAGTAAC